TTTTTTCTATGACAGTTTTTTTATAGCAGCAAGTTCTGTTTTGTTCTTGCTAAAGTATCTTACATATTTAATGTCAAATGTCACTTTAAACAGCTCCACCCATTCTTCCCCCAATACATATTTGCCTCAATTATATACAGTAATAGCCATTGCACAGTACACTCAAATCATAGAATTTAAAAGACAGTGTGTTATAATGCTTGTAAAATTGTGTTTAGTGTCAAACTTAAATTTTAGTGCTTACTTTGCTGCTTGTTAGCTATATGAGCATGGCCAACTGAATGAATTTCTGTGAGCCTCAGTTTTCTTCACTATAAATCAAGGATAAAAAACAGTGTCTAACTCAGAGGACTAAAGGAGCTAAGATATACAAGTTGATCCTTCTAGTATTCAGAACACAAACATAACAATAAATAATGTTATATTATTACTATTAACAGAAGAATTTATGGTTCAACGGGTCTAACCCTAACATTGTGTAAATGAAGATACTGAGGCCACAAGGTCTAAGTGGAATATCCAAAGCTATCCAAGATTTCCCACTCATCTGCAGATCCAGGTTGAGAATTTTCCATTTAATTTCACTACATAATCAACAAGTCATTTTATTATGGGAGTGAGAAACCAACTTCATGTCTTCCAAAGAATTGTGGAATGTATATATCATGAAACGAATTATATCTATCTCTAATCTTTTGTTCATGGCATATTGTGGACCTGGGCATAGCTTGCTTATTTTAAATTGGCCTGTTCCTCTCCTCTTAAAGTGTAGTCCTCAGTCCAGCCTTCTCCAGTGTTCAGTTTCAGAAACTACTTGATCACAGTAATAGCTAATGGAAATATATAATCTAGTCTTATAATACAAATACAATATTTTAGGAATTTCACCTATTAATAGTAATAGTGATCATGAAATAGTAACATTACTCTGTTATTTAATAAGTACCACAAACTCTATGCCAAGCCCTGTGCAGTTAGTTTGACAGATACCTTAATCTTCACAATAATCATAAATAAAAATCATTATTCCTATACATAGGTAGTATTAAACAGGAAAAAATATAAACATATAATACATTTTTCACTAGTTGAGACCTAATAATTAGGACAGATTGCTGATATAATTAGGAAATCCTTTCTGTGTGTGAAGGCCATTTGCTTGGAAAATGAAACTTACTGCCTCAGTGAGGCTGTGCATGAAAATATTTTGGCGCCCCCTAGAGGTTATCAGTAATGTGCAATTATCAAACCCCAGGAATGAGAAGCTGAAGATTCAGCAGGTGATATTTCTATCATTCTTTGCTGCTTCACTCTCCATACTAAGGTGGCTTGGCTACAACCACAGTGTAGCTCCAGAGCTGTGGATCTCACACTTTAGCGAACATCAAAACCACTTGGAGGGCTTGTTAGAACATAGAGTTCTGACTTCTACCCCCAGAACTTCTGATTCTGTAGATCTGAAGATCTGAGGTACGGCCTGAGAAGTTCCATTTCCAACTATAGTCTCTGGTGATTCTCATGCTGCCTGTCCAAGGATCACATTCTGAGAACCACCCAGCTAGAGAATCTTCTCAAAGTCAAATCTATCTCCAGGAGCAGGTTGGATTTCAGTATCTTTTGAGTGCCGGTGTTGTGGCTAGCTCTCTACTACTCCATTTAGATGACCTTAAATAGTGTGTGCATGAACATCCTCTGTATAATGATGATATGGCACCTAAGAAACTATAGATATTTGATCCCTAGTAAGTCCAAAGGCTCTATTGATATGGTTGGGTGAAGGAGACCAAAATTGAGGCTTTAAGTCAGAGAAGTTAGGTCTGGTTGCAACTCTGCCATTTAATCAGGTGCAACTTGAATGAAGACCAACATTCTCTACTGTACGGGATGAAATAAAAACCATCATTGTGGTTTTAATGCTATCAAATACTGTGGCACTTTGTAAACATAAAACAAATTTTAGTTAAATCTTATTCTCTGTAATATTAGGGTTCCATATCTGCATTTCCAATAAACACATATTACAACAATGTAAGATAGCATCATAAAGGGAATTAAATCCAAGGAATTGTACTGTATATTTCAAAAATTTGATCAATGTTATTACTGTTGCCTACCTTTGTTTACAAAAGTGAGAAAGCAATAATTTTAACTAACATTTATCACTTTTGCATCAATTTTCTTTTCTCACTCCCTTTCTCCACGTAGCCCAACTTCACAATATTTTTATTTAAAAAATACAAATTAGAATAATGTTATTTATTTATTTATTTACTAAATGGGTTTTTAGGTGTCTAAATTGTTTCTAAATTATTTCAGCAACTGGGATTTTTTTTGTGTGCATGCAAAATAAAAGACTTGAATGTGGACTATAGTGGATTCCACTTCTGCTTAATCCAGGTCAGGATTTATAGAGACCTCATGTGGTGACAAGAGGCACCACAGAAGGCTTTCTTCAGGCTGGGTGTAACAGTCAAAGAGAAACTCAGAACTCATTTGGGAGCAAAATAATCCAGAAAGAATCAAAACCTAGGAATTTATGGTTACTGGAGCAGGGTAGGCCTCCAACAAACATGCTGCAATAACACTGAAGGAATAATATACTAATATTTTTAAGTATGAGAAATCTGGTAGCTCATATAAAAATTTTCCTTTATTAACTATAAAGTTGATGACACACAAAAAATTTATGTGCCATGCCTCTCAGGAGTAAGCTACAGTCTTCTCCCCCCTTTTTTTTCCTTAATAAAATCCAGTTCGGATGCATTTAAGTTTGCATAGAATTAAAGAAGACAATTCTATGGGTATGCCGCAGTGAATGTTATTTTCAGCTCCTTCTTGGTTTTACACAGAATGGAAAGTAACCAGAGAGAAAATCAATCTTGAACTCATAGCTATACATTTCATTTACACGACAATATCAATAATATTATGTATAAGTGTTTGGAATGCAGGATATGATCTTGCAATTAAAATACAAGACAATGATTCCATGTGGTGCAAAAAGTTGAACACAAATACATCTTGCTGCTGACAAGGTATTAAAGTTGTGAAATTAAATGAATTAGTGTAATGGTAAACATATTTTAATCACATGATTTACTGGTAGACTAAAGAAAATTCACTGGGGGGAAGACACCTTCCTCAAAGACAGGTACTTGTTCTTTATCTCATTTACCTTACAAGAAAATGTGACATGGCTTCTTTTTTCTTCTCCTTCTTAAGGAAGTTACATAACAGACCTTTAAGCTAAAATCTAGAAGGACAAATGAGTTAATAAATGTCAAATGTTTTGAAGTCTCTAAAAGAATAGAGCACTATAAATCTGTGGCATTAAAATGAGTAATCCTAAGAGTTCTGTTTCAGCTGTTGGATGGTACCCTGTCTTTGGAAATGTCCTCAAAAGGGCTTTAACTTTTCCAGCGCAGGCAAGAAGAGATTGGTAGAGGTAGCTATTATGAAAAGACATTTTAGAAAATGTAACTAGGAGAAAGTTAATGAGGATATTGGAGGAATTTTAGGTTGAATATATTATTGAGTTAAAGAAATTGGTTATCAGCACACCTACTATGTGCCAGACACATTGTTAGATGCTGGAAAGACGAGAATGAACTCATCAGGTCTGCTTGCTTTTGAAGGAGTTACAGATAATTATATAAATAATTACCACACTGTGAAGCTGGCATTAGACTGGAGGCTGGCACAAACTCCTGGGAAACTTTTTTTTTTTTTTTTTTTTTTAAGGTAGAATAGGAGGAGGAAGAATGAGCTGATACGTTTTAAATTCAAGGGAAGGAATCTACTCATTTGGATGTCATTTCAAAGCTATAGTGACACTGGTTTTTGCTGGAGGTGGAGGGGGGCGGGGGAAAAGGGAGAGTGGTAGCCTTGCCAGACACGTATCACACTAAAGAGACAAGAAAAAACAAGGAAATTCTCTTTGAAAACATAGTGGGGGGAAAAATACAGAGCTGCCTTGAAATAAAAGAAACCTTCTGGTACAATGTGTGTTGCTAGGGATTTTCCCCCCCTCCTTTTCCTCATAGGAGAGTAAAATCACCCAGATACGTTCAAGCCCTTAGAGTTTTGTTAGCGTATTGTACATTAGAGACGTCAGTTAAGTGCGTGACCATAAAACAAAAGGGTTAAACGGAAGGGGATGGCTTGGAGATGGAAAGGCAAGCAAACAGGCTTAAAAACGCTGTTTCCCAACTTGCAAAAACTGAACTTTTCAGCTCCCAAAAATACACACGTGTGTGTCTGTGAGCGCAGGCAGATCTATTTCGGTCGGACTTTTCTTCTTTTTTTAAATTTTAAATCATAATGTCTCTGTCTCGCTCTCTCCCTTTCGCTGCTCTGCAAACACTGAGCAGCCCCCTTAGGATCGCGTGGCAAAAGCTGCAGGGAGGCACCGGCAGGGCTGTTTATGTATGAGCCGCGTTCAAAGCCGCCTTCCCCCTCCTCGCCCGCTGCAGACGACCCTCTCGCAGCCCGGGTCACCTCCGGGGCCAAGGAGTTGGGGGCGG